AAAATCAGTATGCATTCTGCATGGAAAATTTTGCCTGAAATATTACAGTAAATGACTAAGCACTGGGTAAAGTCTATAGTAACCTATTCCTACTAAGTGAATACCAACCCTAGAGGACAGAGTAAAGTTGCCACATTTGGTTCTTAATGCTGTACATCTTTCCAGGAGCAGATAACCACATTTTCCCCCATGGAGCCAGTGGTAGGTTTGACCCACAGACCTATGAATTAGCAGCCATGTGCTAAACAATTGTGCCACTAGTGTTCCTGTAAAAATCAAAGAAAATCAAACCCTTTGCTATTGAGTATATGCTGACTCTAGTGACCCTATAGGTCAGAGGAGAACTGTTTGTTACATAAGGTTTCCTAGACTGTCAGTCTTTACCAGAGTAGCCAGCCTTATCTTAGTACCTCTGAGCAGCTGCTAGGTTTGCACTGCTGACCTTGCAGTTAGCTGCTCAGTGCTTGTCCCACAACACCACCATTCTCCTAAAGTCTGTAATAGGAAGCTATATATGCAAATTAATTGGATAAAAGAAGATGATTTATAGATTATATAATTGTAAGTCTATTAAACTTAACACAAAAAAATAGAAATGTGTTTATGTTTCTAAATATCTTGTGTTTTTTGGTTAACTTGCCCTTAGCCAACATTTTCTGTAGGTTCTTAAGATTGTTGTTAAACTGAAAATGTTTTGTTTTGCTTTTCCTGAAGAAATACAAAAGGACTTTGAATTGATTATTGCTTATTGTTTCTGATTTTTATCCTTGAAATAAACTAAGGAACACATTTTATTTAGTTACCCTTCAAATATAAGTGATATGCAAGTAGTATAGTTGAGGAAGATGCTTATAAATTTACTGCTTAATGTTTCTAGGCAATTCCCACTGTAAATTATATTTTTCTGTTTCTAATTAATTATTTTAAATTTGAATAACAAATTAATTCATATGTTTAGAAATGAAAATGCTTACAACTATATACAGTGGAAAAAATGCCAATACTGTACTTCTCTTAGTTATCTAGTACTACTATAGCAGAAATTACACAAATGGGTGACTTTAAGAAAACAAATTTATTCTCTCCGTTTTAGAGGCTAGAAGTCCAAATTCAGAGCACTGTTTCTAGGGAAAGGTCCTTGTCTCCTTCCAGAATCTGTAGACCCAGCATTACTTGGAGATCTCTGTGTGTCTTGGCATCAATCTTCCCCCAGATCTGGTAGCTTCACAGTGTGGGGACCTCAGGTCTAAAGGACACACTCACTCTCAGTTCTGTTTTCTTAGTGGTTGTAGGTCCCTCTCTCTCTGCTCACTATTCTTTCCTTTTATATCTCAAAAGAGATTGACTGAAGGCACAGCCTAATCCTGTAGATTGCATTAACATCATAGACATGAGGATTTACAACACATAGAATTAATTAGATCAGATCAGAGCTGATCACATCAGATCACATCATAATTGATTGCATCTAACTGCCAAATCACTTAGAATCCTGGTTCAGCCAAGTAGGCACAAAACTTTCACTATTATAATTTGTTTGTGGTCAATATAGTTTCTCTCCCTCAAATAAACAATCTGTCATTAGTATCTTATATATACTTCCAAGATTTTTAGTGCATACACAAACAAAGCTGATATATTCTTTTTTTCTTCTTATACACACATATAACTTAGAGCTCTCTGCACCTTGGTTTTATTATTTGTTTTCTGCTTGTTCATTTTGTTTTTCATACAACAATCTGTCCTGAAGGTTTTTCCATGTCGATGCATGAGTGCTTTCCCAGTCCCTCTTCTTCTCCTCCCCAGACCTCCCTTTGTATAAGAAGGACATGGGAGAGCTCTGCTGAATGAAGAAAGAATGAGAAGGGAGCCCTCCCCCATCGTGTACATAAGTGTTATTATTATTATTATTGTCCATCTTTGACTTGGACTTCTTAGAGAACCCTATCAGTTGATTGGTGTTTATTTAAGAAACATGTTACATGTTTTTTATGTTTGTGAGAAGTAATTTTTTTATTATTATAAAGATATGTTACTCTGAAAAGTTTCTATTTTGAAAATACCCAGTTATGTTTTATGTATACCTTGATATACCTGGAATAAAATTTATATAAATTATGATGTGTTGTATTATAAACCCAGGACAGAACAGATTTTTTTAAAATGTATTAAGAATTGGAATATGTCTTATACTTGTCCATCAACTTGTTTGTTTTTTAAAGATGTTATTTTTAGTACACTTAAGTGGCAATCACTTGGTGATATGATTATGATTCTAGTTTAATTCATAGTTCCTAGCAGTCTTCAAACATAGTAGGATTGAATTGAAATAAATCCATAGTTAACATTTTCAAGTTGTAAGGAAATGTATTTCACTAGGTAGTAAAGTGGTACAATAGATTAATACAGTATGCCAGAAATACTTTGTTATTATGGGAAAGCACTGATCTTGCAGTCAGAAGTCTGGATTTTAAGTTCTCAATATACTTGTTGCTAGCTTTCTCTCAGGAAAATCACTTAAGTAGATATAATAAAACCTACATCACAGGGTTGTTTCGTGCTTCACAGGGAGAGAATATGAAAAGAATTTGTGAAATTTAAGTCTCCAGAAACATATTTCCATAAATTTATTCTTTTGTATGTTTCAACAAATCATACAATTCTTTTCATCTTGATGATTGAAACCCCTCAATGTAAAATCATTTATCGCAGTTCTTCCCTGTGTCCTTGTATCCATTCCTCCTTCTTTCTGAACTTTGCCTTGGGTAAATGCTAACTTTTTTATCTCAAATGGTTGACCATCCTATGGTGTGTTTGTGCCTCACTAGAGTTGTTGTTCCCCTTTTATACCTATCTGTTGTTTGGGTGAAAATTGAGCCACAGATGTGAATTCTTTTCCAGATCTGAGGGTGACCCATAGCCAGAGACTCTGGGTTCCATTAATCTCTATCTGACCAGTAAACCTGGTCTTTTTCCATAAATCTGTTCTTTCAAATCTTTAAGATACAGGTCCTAGGCAATTTACTAAAAGTCAATTTTGCTATGAGGAACTTGTAACCAGAGCAGACATTTCACAGGAGCCACAGACCTGTGTCATCCTTATACCCAATCTCCCTAAAGTAGGACAAGAAGGCAGGTGAGTGTTTCTCAGTTTACAGAGTTACAAAACATATTACTTTATTTTAAAAGGGCATTTCCCCTTATTACTACAGGAAAGTAACTATGCTTTATGACAACTTTTGAACTCTAACATTTTTATTGTTGTTAGGTGCTGTCATGTCGCTTCCAATTCATAGTGACTCTATGCACAAGAGAACAAAACACTGCCAATGTGTCAATCCATTTCATTGGGAGTTTTCCTCTTATATATTGACCCTTCACTTTACCACGCATTATCATGCCCTTATTCAGAGACTGATCTCTCCTGACAAAATGTCTAAAGTACAAGAGATGAAGTCTCACCATCCTCGCTTCCAAGGAGCATTCTGGCTGTACTTTTTCCAACACAGATTTGTTTTTCTGCCAGTCCATGATACTTTCAATATTCTCCACCAACACCATAATTCAAATGCATAAATTCTTCTATGGCCTTCCTTACTCATTGTCCAACTTTCACATGCATAGAAAATACTATGGCTTAGGTCAGACACACTGTTGTTGTTGTTGCTAGGTGCCATTGAGTCGGTACCAACCCATAGCGACCTTATGCACAGCAGAACAAAACACTGTCCTATCCTGGGCCAA